AATTAATTAAACTATTGAAGTGATTTAAAGGCGATATGTTTTCCTTATTTATTTATTTTATAATTCAATAATCACATTATTGAAAAATCRCATTGGTTATTTGAATCAATTGTGCAAAGGTCAGTTGACATATACACCGGTTATCCGTGTGATAACCAATTTTGAGCAGCATCATTCATATGAACAAATGGTCTTGGAGGTACTTGACACAAAAAACAAACTTTGATCAATAACTATTTGAAAAAATATAGTAAATATATACATTTGTACATACTTTTTTTAAATTATACAATATACATACATACATACATTTTTCACGTTTTTTTCCCATAGTACAAATCAAACCAATTGCTTATTAGAAACTATCAGTTAATTGACACATTTCATTTTGGTCCCAAAGTATTTCTAATAAACGGCTTCTACTGTATTAATAAAGTAGTCTAGGTAGTATTTGAAATACTAAATTTTATCTTATCTGACTTATGAATACAAAAAAATTATTCTAAAAAAATGATTCATAATTTACTATTAATAGTTGAACATTTGAAATATTACTATACCTAATATAATACGCTCTACATCACACATAACAAGTTTTATTAAAATTTAGATTATTCATAAAAATAATTTTAAAAATGACTTTTACTTAACTATTTAGATATAATATAATCAATAGCCAATTTATTTTACTTCTGTATATACTTCCAGTTTTCATAAGTCCAAAAAATTAGTGTTGGTCATATCGTGCCGTAGTTTACTTATATCATTTAAAAGTAATCTTAATTTTTCTTCGTCATGTTGCCGTTCTACTAATTGGTTAGTTAATATATTTTGAATACTGAAAACATTGAAATTAATAAGACAAAGTTTATTTTACGGATGTAGAAACTTAAATAAAATTATTTAAAAATGATTAGTTAATTAATTAGTTAATCAAGAATCTATGGCCAATACGCTTCCATAAACAACTCCAAATTCATGCTAACTCTCTCATAAAAGATCTTATCATTCTTACACTCCCATAAATCTTAATACCAGGCTAAAAGAAAGTAGTACCGTGGCCTTTTACAAAACATAAATATCTAACGCCTCTTAAAAAATATGAAATAAATATAATATGTATATAAAGGGTGATTTTGTTATCGAAGGACACTCATTATTTAAAAAAGTATTGGCTTTTTTCAAAATATTTTTTTACATAGTTTCCAGTT